CCCCAAAACCCCAAAACCCCAAAACCCCAAAACCCCTACTCACAAGAATTTTATTGAATTATGGAGATTTTAGGTTATTTCCTCCTTGATCTGCTTTTGGTAGTAGGATTCATGCTAAATCGGATTCTGTTGTATCTATTGTTTTTTCCTTCAGCTACTGTGGTAGTCTTGCTTAGATTCTTCCTCGCGTTGTTTGAAAATAAATCAGAATTAAGCCCTTTCTAGTGATTATGATCAGTATCTTACCAATGCTCCAAGATCTGTATGTTTGTAGAACTGATTCCTTCCAACCCCAGCAAGGGAGCCAGTTGGGCTATCACAATGGATCCCTGGTATCTTTTTATCCAGCTGAAGGAAAGACTCATCACTGATTCCATTTGACTTAGACTGACTTAAGTTCTCTTCTTTTATTTCTGGAGTTTTAAATAAAAATTACCTCCTTTGTTTGTAGTGGATCTGATTGGGAATGGGATTCCACTCTCGTTATGTCTGCTCATTTCTACAACTCTGACTGGCTCGATCGAGGAGAGATTGGTGCTCATAGTCTTATCTCTCTTATGCTTTGTGGTATACCAAGGCATCTCAGAATTGCTAAGAAGATGATAGTTTAGCGAGTTCTCATTTTCTCCGATAGCAAGATCGTTCTTGATTAACTCTTGTGCCCTTCTTTTGCCAAAATGGGGAGCTGGATAAGCAGAAGTTGGTCTGATACCTTTAGCTACATCATTCGTGGCTAGTATGTTCTCCTTTGGAGACTGGACAATATCTTTCCCAACAATACTAGTATCTCATTGAGAGTTGATAGAGAAACACTAGGCATTATGTAAAGTCTTACCTTGGAAACCGAAGCTGCTTTGGTGTGCCTGCCAGAGTTCCTATTTGATTTGCTTGTGTTAATCCTGGTTACTTTCTTCCGACTAGAAATTATTGGTTTCTACATACCAAACAAGAGGTTTCCCTTTGAGCAAGCCAAAGAAGTCAGTATCAAGGTAGCTAGCATCATGGTTGTATTTAGATATCTCTTCAAATGTTTTATCTCTGTATTTGTAGTATAGCATAGGGCTTTTTAGAATAACCTTGACTTGTTTTAGTTCATCATATAGCTTATTTTGACCTATGGGTAAGATTTAAGTCATACTTTTCAATCTGTTGTCTGATAATCTCATTACGGACCTTCATCTCAGTCTCAGCCATCTTTTGAATTTGCTGTATTTTGTCCTATAGAATAGCAGAATCATGTTACTTTATAGTCTATGTGGGTGTCTTCTACATGGCCTTCGAGTTTTTGAATTTCTTCCTTGAGATCTTTATGTTGGTTTCTACAAATCAAAATGTGAGATTACCTGATTTCTAGTTCTTGAATCTTCTCATGGAGGGATTCAATAACTTTTTCATATTTCTCAATATCCTGGCTGTACATCTCGAGTGTCCTCTGCAAAGAATAATTGTCTGCTTGGAGGTGCTGTATGATGTCTTCTTTATGTAAATTCTCTCTTCTGAGTTTGACCAATTCCTCATCAGGTTGTTGTTGCTCTAATCTGAATAAATTACAGTAAAACTCTTCAAAGACCCTCTTAGAGTTAGATTTGAGGAACCTTTGAGTGTATTTTTCAAGGTCTTCTGAAAAATTGGGGTCTTCCTTTTGCCTTTCATTGACGAATCTGAAACCTAGAAATTTCTTAAGCTTCCTGTTGATCTCCCTAGCTTCGTTAAGTTCATTCTTTTCAGGTGTCTGCTCTTGCTCTTTAGTTTCACTGAAACGATATTTAGTGATGATATCATTCATTCTATCATAAATTCTTTGAACTTCTTCCTCTGTGGCCTTTTTCATGGCAACTAGCTTTTTGTCAATGAGTTCTCCAGCCTTGGACATTACTGACATTCTATAATTTTTGAAAATGATGTTGTGAGAGAGCCTGATAGTGCTCAGATGAGTCAGATACTCATGCCTTGTGAGTCCAGAGGTTATTATAGGCCTCCTCAAGCTTTGCTCCTTAGCTTTCACTAGGGTTTTCAAATCAACTCTATATGAATTAGTAAGTCAATTTTGAATTACCTGTTAGATCTCTGAGAATTCTGCTGAGTTGATGACTTCCTCTTACTGTTTGAGATATGAGACATCTGGCTGCGGCTGCGATTTACATTAATTTTAGGAATATTCCCGAAGTTAGCATCATTTTCAAGATTAAAGTCCTCCCAGAAATCATTATCAACAGAGGTGTCTCCTTGACTTCTAGCATCGTCTATGTGGATGTCATCAAATTCGAATTGTTTGAGTACATGATCTAGATGGGCTATATCAATCTCTCTAGCTTTTTCCTTAACTTTCATGTTTTTGCTAATATATCTAAGTCTCTTAAGTTCTTCCTCGATCTTTATAGAGTCGACCTGAATATTTTCAGAATGTATACTTCCATCTCAATTAATGTTCCAGGTTCCGCTCTCCTTGTGATCTTGTTCTGTGTTAAAAGATTTTTGTGGTGTTGGCTCAGGCTCACTCTGATCTCACTGGCTGAACTTATGCTTCAACTTGTTGATATAACCTGGATCAAGCTGGAGTTGCTCAGAATGCTTTTGAAGTACATCAACTACCTCTAGATTAAAGTTATCAGGCCGATATGCTTTCTCAGGTACTGTGACCAACTCTTCTGGGATTGCCTTAATATCCTGTATTAACTGTTGCATGACACTGGCTGTCATGGGAAAGTTATAGCTGATATTATTTTCGATTTCCTCCTTTCGCTCATCGATCGATTTCATTTTAAATCTCAATTTATTTTAAAATTGACGGGGTTTTGGGGTTTTGGGGTTTTGGGGTTTTGGGG